ATATTTTATTGATTTTTTTACAGAGAGGAAGGGAGAGAGATAGAGAGTTAGAAACATCGATGAGAGAGAAACATCGATCAGCTGCCTCCTGCACATCTCCTACTGGGGATGTGCCCGCAACCCAGGTACATGCCCTTGACCGGAATCGAACACGGGACCTTTCAGTCCGCAGACTGATGCTCTATCCACTGAGCCAAACCGGTTTCGGCTTCAACATACTTTCTGAAATTTCGTAATTCTTTTTCTCAAAAGGGTGGTTTTTTTAAAAAACCACTTAAATTTCTCTTTTAGATATATAAAATGTGCTAGTTCCTTTTCCGACCATCTGTCTTGTAGGGGCACGCCACTTAGATCAGAAAAGATATGCTAGCCCTGGCCGGTTGCTCAGTGGTTAGAGTGTCATCCCAGAGTGTCGGCCCGTGAACTGAAGGGTCTTGGATGCTATTCCAGTCAAGGGCATGTTCCGAGGTTGCAGGTTCAATCCCTGGCCCTGGTTGGGCGTGTGCATGAGGCAACCAATCGATGTGTCCCTCTCACATCAATGTTTCTCTCTCTCTGTCTCTCCCCCACTCTCTTCCACTCTCTCTCTCTAAAAATCAATGGAAAAATATCCTTAAGTGAGGATTAACAAACCAACACACAAAGAGAGATATAATCCAGTTGGTCGAGAAATAAAATAGTAGCATAAAATACTCACTGTTCTTTATCACTGGAGGAAGGCAGAGAAAGGAGAGAAAGAAAGAACAAAATCAGGAAAGAAATCTCATCATGAGAGCAGCACTGTATGGATGCAACACCACATGGTTTAAATGACAAGGACCTGCTTCCATTTTCTCCCCCAAATCATGGTGATCGGATTGCAGCTCATCCAAAACAAGGTCACTGCAGGGTGGGCTTGTAAAAGCCACAGCTGGGATTAAAATGACCAATCAGTTCAGCTTATTGATGAACCGAGCTGATCATTTATGCATTTAAATCATGGGCTTGGGGTCCTAAAGAGACATCACGTAGTGACATGGCCAACATCATCCTTGGCTCTTGTTGTTCCGAACACTTTGAGGAGGGCCATGAGCCCTGAGCAGGAACCGGTTCCTCCCGAAGCAGAGCTTTCAGTGGCCCAGGCTGAGGGAGGAGACCAGCAGCCCCACCTACCAGGTGTGCGCCCCTACACAGACACCTCCCCATGTCCTCTCTTTGTGCCTCAGTTTCCCCCTCTGGTCTCTGGCACTCTCTCGCTGGCAGATTTCAAAGCTACAGAGCAGCGTGACCTTCCCAGCATTTCTCCCCAAGTTTTCCCAACATAAAGAGCTAAACTAGCCCAGCTGGTGTGGCTCAGTGGTTGAGCATTGACCCATGAACCAGGAGGTCATGGTTTGACTCCTAGTTGGGGCACATGCCCGGGTTGTGGGCTGGATACCCAGGGTGGGGCATGCAGGAGGCAGCCAATCAATGATTCTCTCTCATCATTGATGTTTCTATCTCTCCCTCTCACTTCCTCTCTGAAATCAATATTTTATATATATATATATATTTTTTAAAAGAGTTAAACCACTGCCCGACCCTCACCAGACGCAGATTCCTTTGCCTCCTTCAAACACCCTCACGTGTTTCAAACACCTTAGACTCAAGGAGGCTGAGAGAGGAAGGCATCTGAGAATCACAAAAGCAGTGAGCGTGTCTGGCTAGCCAGCAGTTAATGAAGACTGGCCGTCTTAATTTCCCGGAGAAAGACATCACAAGCACCCGTATCACCGCTGCAGCCGACGAGAGAGCATGCGTGATGACTGTAATCCACCCATTAGCATGTGTGGGAAAACAATTTTTAAAAAAATATATATATTTTATTGATTTTTTACAGAGAGGAAGGGAGGGGGATAGAGAGTTAGAAACATCGATGAGAGAGAAACATCGATCAGCTGCCTCCCGCACACTCCCCACTGGGGATGTGCCCGCAACCAAGGTACATGCCCTTGACCGGAATCGAACCCGGGGCCCTTGAGTCCGCAGGCTGACGCTCTATCCACTGAGCCAAACCGGTTAGGGCAGGAAAACAATTTTAATATCCCAAGGACATGCAGGAGCGAGCCGGCCGGCCATGTGCACGGAGAATGCCAAGCTGTTTCCCGGCAGCCCGGGCGCACTGCTAATGAAACTGCATCCAGGCTGTCGGGATCACTCTCATCTCAGCGTAAAGCAAATTGTCTGGCCTTGTACTGCGGAAGTAAACTCTCGGATGCATGGGATTTTAATTAACTGACGTCTCAGAAATAAAATAAATGTTACCCCATTCACCCTTCGGGCAACTGTTTATCTTCCAGAGACACGCTGTTTGGTGGGTAGAATATTTTCTGCAAAATAAGTCTGGGCCCAAGGGGGCATCATGGGAAGGGCTTGGGAGAGTAGGTGTATTTCTGGTGGAAGTTTAGAATGACATACCCGGCCCTGCCCAGTAGCTCAGTTGATTAGAGCATTGTCCAGATACGCAAAGGTTGCGGGTTGGATCCCCGGTCAGGGCACATGCAAGCATCAACCAATGCACGCATACATAGTGGAAACATAAGTGAAACAACAAATCCATGTCTCTCTCCCTCCCTCCCTCCCTCTCTGTAAAAAAATCAATTTTTAAAAAACTAAAACAATTCTACATATATATTTTTAAAAAGCAGGAAAATCAGTGGGAAAGTTCCCATGACAAAACTCCCACCGGGTTCCTTTGCCCCCGCCCGGGAGGGACTCCAGGTCTTTGCTTGCTCTTCCTGTCCTCCCTGGAGAGCCCAAATCCCAGGCCTGCACCGACCCAGAACCAGCCACTCCCAAGACGACCCGGGACTTACTTGGATTGAAGGGGCCGGTCGCTGGGACACACCCAGCGGCTGGAGCTGCTGCTGACCACGGTGTCGGTCATGGCAGATGTCCCGTGCGCCTGGAACACAGTCACCACAGAGGCCGTCACCCAGTGCTTCAGCCGCGTCTCCGTCCCCAAGGCCCTGCTCCGTGCCCAGCACTCAGGGACACAGAGAGGACGGGACCTCACCCAGCTTGTCCTCTTCCCTGATGGGGAGCCTCAGGCCCCAGAGGGAAGTCCCTGCTGGAGGTCCCAGCTCCCTCCTGCAGGAATGGATCAGAGCTGAAGATCCTGCCCTTGACCCCACATTCTTCTCACTCACTGAGTCAAGGTCACGTGCCCAGCAAGGGTAGGGGCCGTGTTCCCAGGGGCCCCCCCAATTTCCCTGAAGCTCTGGTTACAGCACAGCCTTGTTCCCGGAAGAAGCTGAACAGGTGAGAAGTTGGGAGGGGACACAGAAGGACCCTGTGCTAGATGGGCCCACATTTGGCTTAATGCTCTGCTGTCATTGCCTTGAAATTCTTAGTAATTTTGGGGCATGGGGCCTTTCATGTTCGCTTTGCAGCCAGTCCCGAGTATGATCTATAGTCGATGCTCAATAAACCCTCAGTACATCCCAGAGCTCAGTGAGTGCAGTGAGCACTCAATCCGTCCTCCGGTAAGTGGCAGAGCCAGTCCTGGCTCCTGCTCTGCCCACCTCCACCACTTGGCGCTAACCTTGACACCGCCCTGCGTCTTAAACTGCCTCAGACGCCCCATCCCACACCCCAAAAAGCCAGAGTCAAAGCCCCCTTCTTTCCCCTTTCCATTTTGTTCTGCCTACTTCTGCTGTGGCTCCTTCAGTGCTGTTTGCTGAGGAACCCTGCCTCCATCCCAGAATCTCAGCAGGTTTTAGCTGAACTGAAAACAACTCTTGAAACACATTTAATTCCCAGTCACAGCAGGTATCACAGCTCCCCTCAGCGGGGGCGGGGCGGGGCCAGGCTGTAGGTGGGGCTTGGGGTGCTGCAGGGGACCTGTGTGAGCTCAGTGGTCTGCATGGAGTTCAATGCCACAGTGAGCCTCGCCCCCCTGCCTCCCACCCCAACCCACAGTCTTGGAATTAAACCAGATGCTTCGCAGCAGAACAGGCAGCCGCCAGCTGGACGGTGCGCACGCACTTCCATCTCTGTCTCTGTCCCTGTCCCTCCCTCCCTCCCCTGAGCCCAGCCCATCACTGCTCAGTTAGGGATCTGGGAAAACTCACTCAGACTATCTGACTG